TAAGTGCCTAAAATAATATAGGTTAAATGTTTATACCATAAACATTTAAGTTTTAATGATCTACATTGATTGCCAAACAGCAGCAGTAAACAATCGATTCCTTGTTGTCTGAAACAATACTCGTATGCATGCCACTTAATTATAAGATATTTTTTTATTATTATTTATTTCAAAAAGATGCTGCCACATGGAATGTACCGCTGCGCACGTTGCTAATGTGATAAATACCAACTTAACCAAATTTAACACTTGGGTCATTTGTCGTCTGAAAAGTTGGTACCCACATATGAACACACCATAAACATGTGGCCAATATACGAGATGGCCTATTGGCCAACTTTTATCAGTGACAAAATACTATTTTTTACCCAACAACGCCATTTGAAATGCAAACGGAGAGCAGCAACCGTCAAATGTTACGAATTGAGCAAATATTGTCGGACGAACCCACTGATATGACTTCCCAAACAGAATTTGAAGTGCACAGCTTTTGACACCTCCAATGGAATTGTACAGTTATTTAATTGTAATAAAAATGCACAAAAACACATACACAGGCAAACACATTTACACACAAATACAATCGTGTTACTAATTGAGCAATTTCTCAATTAAAACTAAATAATTTATTTACATTTTTACATAAATTAATTGTTTTATTTTATAATCAAATGTGAATTTTTTACTTGCCCCCAAGGCATGCCTTCGTGTTCGCTGAACCACAGCCGGCTAGCCGTCGAGAAGAGAATCTGTTATAAAATTGCAAAATTTATTTTAAGGTGAAAGAATGTTGAATTGTTTAAAAATATATAAAAATAAATCATTCCAAGTTTGGAAAATATCAAATGAGCAAGATTATTCAGAGTAGATGGGATAAGACGACTTGTGGAAGCCCTATAGAATAAAAAATATTGTTTGTAGACCCCATTATAGTATGGAGGGTATATTATGTTTACAGAAGTTGAATGCTGTCAGATCAAGTTGAAGAATTAGGTATGTCTTTTCGATTGACCGCTGTGGTTAAAAAATGCGTACGACTCCTGTATAGACTCCAAAATAGACCGTGAACTACGGAATGAATGTCTTGGAGACAAATCTGAAATGTTCTGAACCAAATTGCAAAAATTCTGGTCTCAGGATTGACAGCATAATTCTAATAGGAAATAATCATCATAACTAAAAAATCGGTCTAAAAGTTCTGGATTTCAAGTTCATAAATTATAGGTCAAAGGCTTGTACTTAGTTTTAACACTGGATTTACAGAGTGAGCCAAATCTTAAAATTAAAAAAAAAAAAATTAATTAAAAAAAATCATATATTGGTATTTAGTTACTTAATGGAAAATATGGGCAATATTGCCAATTTTTTAACATAGCTGAAGCCGATGTTCACCCCTTTATAACTCGGAAATTATTAAAGTGTATGAGAAAGCTTGAATACCTTTGGATTAATTAATCTGCCGTTGCCAACTTTTCATGATATTGACCTAAAAAGTATATTTGCATAGAAACTGTGTGTCTACTTGAATGTAAAAGGGATGTTTATAACGGACGGGGACTTCAGCACTTTGGGTAAATACAAGAGATAATGATATGTACAATATTCTGTATATAGAAAACAAAGGTATCGGACAAAATTAACAGCCTGTTTCACAAAAATTCGAAACGAAAAATATTGTTTGATCAAAATTCATTCGAATTCGTTCGTTTAGGATTTTAACAGAAGCCGCCCGTAAATATGCGATCTACATACATAGATATTGAACCAATTTTTATCAATCCATACACATACCATTCAGAAATCTATATGCAAGCATATTTACGTATAGGAGCAATATTTAGATCTGGACCGATTTGAGCACACTGGCACACACCATTTGGTATGCTGTCCAAAATTTAATCTCAAACGGTACACAATTTGCATGACCTGAGACGAAAATATATAAAGGTAACATCTACATCTGTACACATTTTACAAAATCCAAATTTACCAAAAATCGGACATATATATGGGAGATATATCTAAATCCCAACCGATTTTAACGAAATATAGCACATATCATTCTTAACTAATTTTATAGGAGCTTTGCACCATTTAGATAGAATCGGACGAAAATATATATGGGAGCTACATTAAAATTTGAACCGAATCTGAACTTAACACATGTCAATCTAGACTCAATTCGGTACTCTATGCAAGATTTTGTCTCGATACATATGGGTGCTTTATCTAAATTTGAACCGATTTTTATAAAACTTTTTTTATAAGCACATACGTCAATCTTTTTGAACATTGTGACTTGGGTGAACTATTGTGTAATCGAACAAATATATATATGGGAGCTATATCTAAATGTGAACTTACCCAGTTGTTCAATAAATATCAATTGTCTGCTAGTATATAGTTATATAGCTACTTACAAATCAACTAGTTCGATTTGTAAGTAGCTATATAACTACATAATATACACCAAATGGTACAACAAGTAGACAGTTTGATTCATTTGTCAATTTAACATTTTTTATAATAATATCATTCCAATTCAATAGTTACTAGTAATGCGAAGAGTAATGAATCAACTATTTTATAGGTTACCAATGGATATAGAAATAATCAATATTTCTCCCTTCGAAAAAAAATGTCTATTTCAAAACAAAATATATATATTTTTGTTAATATTGAAAACAATTATCACAATTACTACAATTCACTACTCAATCATCATTTTTTGACTACCTAAATGGCTGGTCACTGGTATCGCAGGCTTCCCCAATGACATATCCATGTTAAATTCACCAGTCTAATGCATGATGTGGTAACTAGTGGTAGTTACAGATAACTACTAAAATATCTTGTTAATCACCAGTTAATCGAACTACTCCAATTTCAATGGAGTTTGTGTATGGGTCAAATAAGTGGGATGTGCCAAATTTCATGCAGTTTTACATAAATTCAACCTGTAGTTTGTTTACAATTTAACATGGGCGGACGGACGCTTTCTGCGTTGATTTATGCATATTCCCTTTGCCTGTTACAAACATATGCACAATGACATAACACCCTGTAACAAAGTGTATTAAAGCGCATATGTTTCTTACCGACTCAGTGACACAGCCACTCATTTCAGGGCTTTCGTGCCAAAGTAAAAGTATATATCTATAAAATCTACATCTAATATTAAATGATACTGACATTTTGAAGCTCGATATTGAGTGTTTTCTTCTAGTTTCAATGCGCAATCAAGAATTTTCCAAAAAATAATTATTGAATTGTTCTACTCGCGAATCTATGTAATTATATCCTTGTCACGGTTAAAATGTGCCGCATCGAAATATTGGTTTTAGATCCAATGATTCTTTTGACCAATTACGTTTCAGACAAATGTAATTTCAAACCTATTCTATTTTTAAGTGAGTTTTTTCTCTTTCAATTCGAGCTTAATGATCGAAGTCTTGCAAGGAAAAGGAAAGTCAGGGGAAAACCTCCGCAACAACCATTATTGGACCCGTTGCGCCGTTGATAAAGAGAGAAAGAAAAAACTTAAATAAGAGCCCCTCCCCAGTCGCGGTTTCAAAAATTTAATTATGTTGTTTGATTTAATTCGCACCTACAATAATTCAGAAATGTCCCTATAAAATTTCAATTGAAAGTCTCAACAACTCTTGAAGATGTATTATTGTGTTAGTATCAAGTGGCGGCAAGAGTGATTCTGAAACTTTATACGTGTTTTTCTCGAAACATTGTTTTCTCGGATGGCGAGCACGATAACTCAAAAACTAGATAATAATCCAATCCGTTCTAAATTTTGACACGTTTCTCTGTGATTGTATAGCTATTGTTTGAACTAGGATAAAACCAATCGGTGAATATCTTCCTTATTTTTAATAAGGTTTGTGATCAAAAATAGGCGATTTTCCAAAAAAAATTTCCTCCATTTTGTACATTTTTGAGCGATGTTCCAGTGAGATGATATCATGCCGCCATTAGAAATAAGGACTTTTCTTTAATCACAAAAATATCAACAAAACAATAACAAACTGAATTTTGTAAATTGTGAAAAATTACAAACCTTAACAAGGGTTGGTATTCATTTAGAGACCCACTGAAAATCTTGAAAATTTTAAATCGAGAATGGGGGCGGAGTTCCCTTAAAATCAAAAACCGTTACAGGCAAAAACCAAATAAAACAACTTATCTCTATTCCATTTAATAAATGTAAGTAAATAATTAAAAAAATATATACAAATGAATTAGCAAACAAAAACTACCCACTACAAATATGGTAGGGTATCAAATGGCTTGGTCTTTTGTCGTAATGCAGAGCTAGTTTTCTTTAAGTTCAACTCATCACTTAACTATTAGGCGTGTTGAATTTTATTTATTTATTTGTTTGGTGTTTTTTGTTTTTCAAATTTTTATTTGTGATTTTTTTGCAAACAAAATCTACAATATTTAGTTTTGTCAAGTTTGTGCATGTATGGCTTAGTGTGGTAGTGTAGTTAGCATCTTCGTTTGCTTTTGTTTTTTTTTTTTTTTATTTTTGCAACTGCAATATTTTCTTTGGATTTTACAGTGATTTTGCCTTAGTTGCCACTTTATATGTGAAGTGTGCTTTTTTGTTCTGCTCTTTTTTCTACTTGGCTTTGTTTGTCGTCTCCGTCGTCATCAGCACCGTATGAGCATTTCGTTTTGTATTTGGCTTTTTGTGTCTGTCGTCGTTGTTGTGGGCCTTGCTTGCCCTGTGTGTGTCTTTGTGTGTAATTTCCATCGGAGAGCAACTGCAGCAGTGGTGTGGCTTGCGTTTTGGTTGCATCTTTTTAGCCGTATAAATAGCGCTGGTAGCCGGCATTAGAAATCATAAAAAATTCTCTCGTTCAATTAACAACTTCTAAAGATCTCTGCAAGAAATTTGCAAAATTCTTGAAAGGACATCTTTTAAAAAGCCAATAAACAAGAAAACAAATTAACTAGTTTAATTTAAAGTTTTTTATTATAAAAATATATACATACAACAAAATGAAAATTGTAAGTGTATAAATGTGTGTGATTGTGTATTTTGTAAACTAAATGATATAAATATACAACGGACAAAATATCGCCAAGAAAATATACACATATTTTAACTAACAAGGATATATTTACATGAGTGTGTGTGTGTGTTAAAAATAAATTTAGTTAATCTATTTTTAGACAAACTAAAAATAAATAACTGTATTCGAAATGATTTGATTTGTAAATAGGACCTATATGTATATCTATTGTGCAGCTGTACCCTTACTTGAAAACATGTGGTCAAGAATATACAACTGTTGTGTTGAAGCAGTTGCACTTGGTTAGCAAATAATGGAACTAATCAGCCGTATGGAAAAAATAAAATAATATATTACATTTTGTGGTTTAAAACAAATAAATCCATAAGGCTGGAGTAATCAGACACTATATTTCTAGGCACTATGTCTCGATACCTTAATTTGTAATGTTTTCACAAAATGTGCCAATTACAAATCTGACAATTGTAATTCGATATTTTCCTTTTCATTCCCTACACAACTATGTTGTCAGGATGTTCAAGTATAACGATCGTCATATCTCGACTATCTGGGTCGATCTAGACATGTCTGTCCGTCCGTTATAATTTGTAAACATGATATTGACCAGAGTTATGGACCAATCGTCACGATATTTTGCATGTGGGATGGATTCTTGCCATAGAAAACGCCTATTGTTTTTGGTAATGATCCGTTAATATTTAGGAGATGAAATGGACCAAATCACGAAATTTTACACCAGGAAGGGAATCTGGGAATAAGCATGGCTGTTTTTATGAAGTTCGGTCAATATTTCGTGGGTCAAATGTTCCCAGGCTTTTGTGTGAAAAATTACAAAAATGCATTCTATGGAGAGAAGTGGACAATATATACTGTCCACTCCAATTGATTCCAACACGAAAATATTTAATATTCTGATATGGTTTAGTATTATCATCACCACTCTAGAGGGCGGAGTGTAGCGCTGATGGCTAAAAAAATTTAGCTTGAGGTTCCGGTTATGATCAAGACGATTATTAAATGGTGGGGATGACATGGACCGAAAGCTTTATTTTTGTCTGGTTTTCTAGTAGCTTCAGCCGCCACAAGTATCAGCCGACCATCTCAAATTTTCCATGGGGATGGGGATCTATCCAAAGAATAAATGCCTTGATGATGTACGGTCAAGTGAAGTGATTTTTTTTAAGTGATTATTTATACTCTTTCGAGTCGAGCTTGATGATCTAAGTTTTTCAATGAAAAGGAAAGCCAGGAGAAGGAGAAGAGTATAAATAATCACTTAAAATTACTTTGAAATGATCACTGCCCTTACAAGGCAAAATAAATAATTTGAACAAAATTTGAATGTTATTAATTAAATGTGTACACTGGAAACTATGATTTGGAAAAGAAGCCACAGTGCAGAGAGTGCAAATATCACACGGAATATATTTGTAAGTCTTTAAATTAAAATCGTCGTAAAATTGAGGAAAATTTTGAAGCTTATCTTTGGAGTCCGAATCTGGTGCACATTTTTGCAAACCTAAGATAAAGTTGGAAAATATTTATTAATCTGGTACCACCCTTATAAATCGCCAACAGTTGTAAAAATCAAAAATTTCATATAAATCTAAAATGTCATTAACCTACATTATTGGATTCAAGTTTGATTATGTGCCGAATTTACTAATATTTTTCATTTATTTTCCAAAAAAAAATTTAAATATAGCTACATTTTCTCATATACATACCTTCTATACATATATTTGGAAACCTCATAGTTTTGGATTAAATTGGACACTCACTACCAGGTCTATGTCATATGAGCTTTACGAATTTTCCAAGTGTTGACTATTTGTGGGTAGGTACTAGAAGGATGAACCGATAAACCCCATCTTTAAAGGCTTGAATAAAGTATTATGTTGTGCGCAATTTGATTCAAAACCAACACCTCGTTCGCACTAAACGAAGATGGAGGTACTATCTTCAAACTTAACCTACATTTGGAAGAAATATTACGATGTGAAAAGCGTAGATGAAATCGGTTATTACCTTTAAGAGTTTCGTTCGCAGACAGGAGGACATACGGACATTTTTAATCGATCCAAAATTGCCTGGAACTTATTTGGTCCAAGAAACATGGCGTCTGAAACCGACATTTTTATCATAGAAAAGTGTATATACCCTCATCAGCAATGAGGATTTGTACACATCCATCAATTTTGTAAACACTGTACATGTCTTATTTATTACCAATTTACATGGTCCAAGGACGAACCCAATGGATAAGAATAGGTACAGATTTAGATATAGCTCCCATATAATTTTGACCGATTCCATATAAATGAGATTCTTCAGTTGGCATGCAATTCAGCGAAGAGTATTGAGTTTAATCGAAATTACTACCATATACAATTTCATCCGATTTTATGAAATGGCGCCCAAATGACACTGACAATAAATTTCTACGGCAAGAAACTAAAATGTCTTGTGTTAAGTTATGTCCAGGTTTAAATATAACTAGCATTTACAATAAATCGGTTCCAATATATAATTTTCCATTTTATGTAATAGTCTTGGAAATCATCCCATACAAAAGATACGGAATTTTGCAAATTATGGTTTCAAATAAATAACTACACCATTAGAAACATTTGTTTCTAGGTGGTATCATTGTCCTGTTCAATTTAGTGGTCAGTTTATTTTCAGTCCAAATCCATAAAAAATGATTTTGAAATATTGTCAGACATACCTATATAATAGTTATATATATATACCAAAATATAAATTTATTTTCCCTACCTTTTGACATTTTACCATAAAAAATAATGCATCGTTATAATTGACAAACAATTTTTAAAGGTCTTTAAGTTAATAGGTAGCTTTTTCGGCATCTGATGACGCCCCAAACACCAAGCCGCTTCCCAGATGTAACATTTTAAACACTGCCAAGAAAAACCAACAACAACAAAATGCATCAACTTAAGTTTGACAATAAACCTTTAAGGCATAAAACGCCGCAAAACCACAACAAATGATGCAACTTGCCACAGATCATGTGTGTCACTAAAGATTATGGATTTCTTCGGTTTTTTACAACCAGCCACATAATTGGCAATTATTTTGTTTGTCATAATTTCATTTTAAGCAGATCGAATGGTCTTTTTTCAAATCACAACCACAAACTTAGCCTTAGCAGGTAATGGGATAATGAAAGAGGCTACAATGTGTTAGATTTATAACGAATGGAGCTTTGAAATACAACTTCGAAAAATTAATAATTATGTTTGATCTACGATGGTCATGCCAAAAAATCAAATAAGGGCATAAAGTTCGCCAAGCCGAATGATAAAATTTAATTCCAAAATACAGATACTCAGTTTGCACTTCACCCCTCGACAAATGCCTGCAAGAAATGTATCCGCTACCGAGATCATATGCCATTTAGTTGGCTTCAAAGATGTCAAATAAAATATTAAATAATTAAGGATAAAATATAATTTAGTAATCCTCAATAGTTATGTCAAATATCCCTCTACGTGCTCTAGTAGTATTTAATAATAATGCCCAAATTGTAAAAAAATCGTTAATTCATTTTTAAAATACAAAACACTATTTTTTTCAATTACCTTCCATTCGCAATTCAAGGCACGTAGGCAATTCATTAGCTCAATAGGCAAAAAAAAAACCAAAGGTCATTTCATGATTTTTTTAATTATACACAAAGCGTTTGCAAACAAATTTCAATGCATAAACAAACGAAAAGCATCCACCCTATTTTGAAAATAAAATTTAAAAAAAAATTATGTGTATATTAAAAAATGTGCAATTATTTGAGAAACGTACGGAAAAGCAATCAAACAAACAACTACAATAGAAAATACATTGTTAACAAGATAATTACCGAATCATCTTTGAATTTCTAATTTACATATAAATAACCACAAAATAGTCAACCAACCATGTAAACATCAATCTCAATTAAATACAAATAATGGAAAATAGAAAACAAAAAAACACTAACCAAAATACCCGTATTAACAATGATTATTGCTTTTTTGCCGACCTTAATTGTGTTATTATTTTTTATTTCTTTTGTTTTCTCATTGCAGGAACTTTCCGTATTTCTTATTGCTTGCACAGCATCTTTGGTTTTGGCCAGACCCCAAGATCCCATTGCTATTGTTAGTCAAGAGTCAAATATTGAGCCAGATGGCTCGTATAATTATGCGTAAGTATTGTGTGTGGCACACTGATAAATATCTAAAGCATACTTTGAGGCGCTAGCAAAACACAACACAAAAGATTTAAGACACAAACCTAGGTTTGTGCAAGCTTGGAAAAATAACTGAACGAAGGGAATTGAAAACAAAAGACTTAAGACAAAAACCTGTTTAGTGTGCAAAACGTTAAAACTAGTTAATTGAAATTCAAAATTCGTTTCATAGAATGAAAATAAAGTTAAATTCATAGCAAATTAACAAGAATTAACGATAAAAGCCAAATACGGGTGATTCTGCCAAATTTATCAATAAATGTAGGGCCCTGCATTGTGTTACCTAAAAGTGTGTTGGTAGTTTTTTTTTAATTTTAGTTATTACTAAATAGAAAAGATCAATAAAAACTGTCCGATCTTCAAGCTTAGTTATTTAGGGTTGAATTTCTTGTGACAATTTCCACAATAAGTTCCAGGCTCCTTGAACTAACTGGTGTGATGGATGAAATAAATGCCTCTAGAAATATCAAATATGTGTTTCCGTCATTCATCAATAAAGATGAACACTGGACCAATTAAAAAAAATATTTTAAAGGGCGTACCTAGCTTTCCCTAAGTAAGGAATGTTATTTCATGACTTTAATATTGTAAGGTTCGGAGAATTAAAAATGTGGTACAATCTCCTGCATGGCTTGCAGCTAAGCGGTGGAAGCCCTAAAAATATTTAGCACGGGGCACAATATACTTTGTAGTAGTGGTTGTTATTTGGAAGACTTTTGAGGCACGGAAAAGTCAAAAATTCTGCGAAAATCTCTCGAGAGAAGAGGCGAGCAGTGTTTGCGGTGTTTTTTTCAAATATGAAAGATTAAAAACTTCGGAATATACAAAAATATAATTGGCTTGCTCTTTACGTACATAATATCGGACGAAAATATGTATGGGAGCTATATCTTAATCAGAACGGCTTTTCTCGAATCTCAACAAACATCATTCTAGATTCAATTGAGTACGATATGCGAAATTTCGATATGGGACTTTCGGAGACTTACATAAAATCGGAAAATATATATGGTAGCTTTTTCTAAATATGAACCGATTTTCACCAATTTCAATAGGATTCGTCCTTGGGTAAAATAAATGAGCTGTACCAAATTACATCCAAATCAGATTATAAATGCGACCTCTACTTTGCATAATGCATAATTAGACTCAGAAGACGATTCTATGCATATTCTCAAAAGGAACCATCGGTCTATCTCGTTTCATTTTGCATGTTACAAACATATGTACCACAGTGTGGTGAAGGGTATAAACATCGCTTGGGAACTATGTCAAACATGGACCCACATTGCAACTACTTTTTGCCAGTATATTTCTTTTCAAAGTCCTGTCGAGATTTCAACAATAGGACCGTTCCCGCTGAGAGTCCAAAATACCAAATTTTGGTTTTTCTGATTGACACATGAGAATTTATACTTAATAATGTTCTTGAAATTCGAGGTCACAGTTATTTGGAGGCTATATCAGAAAAATTCAATTAAAACTTTCAAACATCTAAACTTCGGAGGTACCAAGCTCCAAGAGAAATTATTGTCCATTTAATGTAGAATCTGTATTTCCCTCTGATTCTACTACTAAATAAAATTTCTTCTTTCTTCTTCCAGATATGAAACAGCCAATGGTATAAAGGGCGAAGAAACTGGCACTTTAAAAAAGGCCACATCTCCCGACACTAGTGATGTTATCATTGCCAAGGGCTCGGTGTCGTATACCTCACCCGAAGGCAATCTCATTACATTGAATTATGCTGCCGATGATGAAAATGGTTTCCAACCACAAGGTGATCATTTGCCCACACCACCACCAATCCCACCAGCAATCCAAAAGGCTTTGGACTACTTGTTGAGCTTGCCTCCTTCCAAACGTCGTTAAGTCCGTGGCATTGATGTGAAACGCAAACTAATGAAATTAACGAAAACCAATCAATATCAACAACAACAAAAAAAACTACAAAAAAGAGCCTTTACAAAAAAAAAAATACAAAACAAAAAATAAACGAATTAATAACAAAAGCAAAGAAGAGCTACAAACTGTCTCTGCTACAATCTAGAGAAACTCAAATGGAAAATATAAATAAAATATAATAAACATAAGTCACTCTTTGCAATCCTATTGCACAAAAGAGATACAAAAGTAACACTTTACAACAACTATACTTTATACTATTTCCCTACACCACAAATATTTCACTCTTCTAATTCTAAAAAAAGAAACATAAAAAAGTGAGTTCATAAAAAACCAAAAAAATAAATAAAAAACTAATTTAACAACACTGACTGAATGAGCCATATAAAAAACCAAAACAATAAAAAAAAGTAAATGATTCTCACTTAAAATCCAACTCTCACTTGATTTCACACCACAAAAACACCTAAACTTGTCACATTTCAATTCTCTTTTGTGATATTCTCTCCATAAGTCACCATATTTCCAAACTGCACTTGTTTATGCACAAAAGGCTCTCTCCATCTTTATTTCCCCCTTTCTCTTTAGTCCTTAATTTCTTTCTCTACACGACAAAAACAAACACCATTTCAATACAAAAACAAACGATGTCTTTGTCTTGTAATTAGTCGCCGGAACTTTGCCATTTCGGATACATGTGATATCACTGCTGCTGATTGTTTGATGGACGATGAGAAAGAATTTTTTAATTATTATTTTAAAAACAATATATATAAAAATATAAATGCAAAACAAAACCACGAGAAACATAAAAGAGAAACCATGAAATTATTAACATTTTTATGCAGTCATAAACATACAATATGAAATTCAATTATATTCTACAGCAACAACAACAACAATGTATGTAATGTATGTAAATATTTATGAATACGAGAAACTTTTTGTAATGTTTTTTTATTATTATTACTATATTTTTAATCAATATTTTGTTTGTTTGTTAAATGTTTATAATTGTATAAATATGCTATAAGTATGCAAATAAAGAATAAATGATTCTTTACAAAAATAATTTCTGCAACAGTGTCTTCATACAGTAAAAAGGAAAATGTGATAATCAAATTGGAATAAGTTTTACGAAATTCCACAATCTCGACTAGCTGAATCGATCTAGACCTGTGAGTCCGTCCGTGCGTCTGTCCATTATGTCGATTTTTCTGACCCGAGCGTTACGAAATTTTACATGAGAAAAGGGATTTGACCAATGAATAATTAGGACTCTGTTTATAACAATCGGTCAATATTTATCGGTCAAAGTTTGGCCCTTTTGTGTGAAAAATTAGAATATTTGTATTCTATGGTGATTGACTTTTAAATCGATACCAATTATATTGATTTGGTTAGTATTTTGATTTTGAGTATTACCATTACCACATTTGGGAGAATACATTTCGAGGATATGCTTACGGTTAATTTTCGATGATAATCAGATGATGTCTCGGGAATGAAATGTGGCGAAAACTTTATTTATGTATGCATTTCTAATGAGACTAGACGCAACAATTGCAAGCCGAACAACCACCTCGGTTTAAATTAAATTAAAAAACAAAATTTCTCCGTCTGTTGGTATCAAATTGGGAACAATGTGGACATGTCACTTATTTGGAATTAGAGAAATTCGGTTCAGATTAAGACATAGCTCCCATTAGGCTCCTCGGAGACTATGTTTATTGGCATGAAAAATTGCATAATGTATGGATTGAAAATTTCTTAAAATCTGTTTAGATAAAGCTTTCGCCTAAAGTTTTCCCCAAATAACTACATTTTGTCCGATTGACACGAATTTGTTCACAAAGTACCAAATTAATCCCGAATAACATGTCTTGGATTCTTTTTAAAATATATTCAGATGTAGATATAATCTCTATGCATTTTCGTCTCAGTCCATGGACATTGTGCACTTAATAATAAATGTTTCTCTTATCGATATAAAATTTTGGGCATCGTACTGTGCTGCATCATACCAAATGCTCCAATATTGTACATTGGCCGACTTTTGAACTTACTTTTTTCATTAGCATAACCGTGCCACCAAAGTAGCAATTTTTATACTTTTTTTTGGCCTTACCACTCTTGTGCCACTTTTTATACCCTTCACCATAGTATGGAGGGTATATTAATTTTGTCATTCCGTTTGTAACTCATAAAAATATTCATTTCCGACCCTATAAAGTATATATTCTTGATAAGGGTAAAATTCTAAGACGATCTAGCCATGCCCGTCCGTCTGTCCGTCCGTCTGTTGTAATCACGCTACCTTCTGAAGGAATTGAGATAGGGTGCTGAAATTTTGCATAGGTTTGTCTTTTGTCTGCAGGCAGGCCAAGTTCGAAGATGAGATATTTCGATCCACGTTTAAGCATAGTTTCCATATAACGTCTCCATATTCCCTTTCTTATACCCTCCACATAGAATGGAGGGCATATTAATTTTGTCATTCATTTTGTAACTCATCAACATATTCAGACCCTATAAAGTATATATATTCTTGATCAGGGTAAAATTCTAAGACGATCTATCTTCTGAAGGAATTGAGATAGGGTGCTGAAATTTTGCATAGGGTTGTCTTTTGTCTGCAGACAGGTCAAGTTCGTTTGGTACATTGGGTTTTTATTGGGTACTAAATGTCTCCACAATAAATTATAAGTATAGGTCCAATTTTTCTGGTAGCCCCCATATAACGGTACCTCCTAATTTTCAATATTTTGGGGGTTTTGGTCGCATTTTTCCACCGAATTGGCTGTAATTTAGTATTTGGAGTTCTTAATAGGTACCAAATCTCTTCACAAAAAATTATAATAGGTCCATTTTTTCGGATAGCTCCTATACACCCTCATTAGCCATAAGGCTGAGGGTATATATATTCATTAAAAATTGCTTAAATTTGTATTTGGTGTACATTATGGTTTAAATAATCAGTTTGTAGAAAGGTCACTTTTTGGTATTTTCCCTATATTTTCATTTCAAGTACCTGTCAGTATTTCTATGTTGGAGGGTATCCAAAGTTCGATTCGGCCGAACTTAACGCTTTTTCACTTTTTTTACATTAAAATAGTTATGATTTGTTCCGCGTTTTGGGTTTGGTTCTAAGATTCTGTTGAAATCATTTCGCCTGCGGAGGATATCGAGATAAAAAACTAGCACGTAAGGTTCGATAATGAACTATATATGAACTATAACCCGCATTAGGACTAGCCCCTCTATGGGAGGTACCAGATGGAGTGGACCGATATTCCCAAGCGGTCACGGTGTAACCATGCTTATTCTTTGGCAGAATCATATTCCGCAGATTAAATTTCGTGATGGTCGGGTACAAATAGTGATCCCTAGAGAAACCGCAAAAGAAATCGCACAAAATTACAGTTTTTGGTCCATTTTATCCCCTAAATACCTTCACACATAGCTAGATCGACTGGGTCTATCGATGCGTTACAAACTTATAATGTGCTCATAATATAGTTATATAGGTTATAATAGCAATAAATGTTTCAAAAAAATTATTATCACAAAACCAACATTGAAAACTTGTCGATATTTTTTAACTCCAGTTCTATTATGTTTTGTGCAGATTTTCTTTTTCATGATGGTTATTTGTTATTTTTTACAATTATTGCATAAATTTATTAAGTACTAGATACTTTCAAAATGACAAAAATTTGTTTTCTTTTTATTTTTATGACGTAAAAAGTGCTCAAAGAATAATCCACTCTAACATATATTTTAAAATCGGCACTTAAAGTAGCTAAGAATGAATTTCCTACATCCACCTACTTACATCATACTTAAAATATTAAATTTAAAATCAAAATGGAAATTTCCACTATTCTACAATTTAAATAAATGACCAGTTTTCAATAATCACAAAAAAAACTTAAATTGATAAATAATTGCTTAATTTTCAAGAGAATTCCTTGTATTCTTACTAGATTATTTCCTAACAAAACAAAAAACTACATTAGCTAATAAGAAAACGTCTTAGTAAAATCATAAATAAAACTTCATGCAGACACTCAGCCAAATTTAAAATCTATAAAAATCCATAAGCGGAGAGAATTAATCTTTTAAATGACATTAAACGATAAACACCCTATTTGTCAATCTTATAATTATAGAAATTGGCTATGTCGAAAATTTTTATCTAGACCTGTTCGCAACCTGTCCATAAGATCACCCCCACACCGGAACAGATCTGTCGTCATTTATCAAGAAGCGATAAAAACTGAATGCGAAATCAAGAAATTATGCCAAAGCCAATCAAATAAATTTTCAAAGCAAAAAATTGGCATGACATTGTTTTGCATGGAAGGTATTTCACATTTTTTGCTTTGTCTATGGAGCAAACAATAAAGAAATAACATCATGGCTAGTTAAACCAGACTTCAGAAAATAATAAAACAGATTCTGGCTATCTTATTTATGAGATCTCTAGGGGAAATATCAAATGATTAAAAGTGATATTAAAACGAAATGACACACGTCGTTTATCCAGCAGAGACACAATAAAATTGACGCTTTGAATATTTCACAAATCAAGGATAACAAATATTCAAAAACAATTTTGTAAGAAACTTATTACCTCACTGGAGCCAATGATCGATATAGAGCTCAGAGTTGACAGAAACCGATTGAGTATCAGATCTTTTACGAATTTTTCACTGATCAAAATTTTACTTTATAGAGTCTAGCATGATTATTTCAACGAGTTACAAACTAAGTGGCAAAGATTTACTACAGATGAGTCTAGCAGACCACAAAATTAAGGTGCCCAATTCACATGGTGGCTCCTCACTGGAATAACGGAATCCGAAAATTCCAACGGCGTTAGAAAGAGTACATGTAAGGCCCTCGCATGAACTAGGATTATTGACTTCGCACAACAATTAACAACTTTAAATTTTTTTTTTTTTTTTTTTTTTTTTTTTTTTTTTTTTTTTTTTTTTGAAAAATCGCCTATTTTGGACCACAAACTATGTTATAAAATAAGGAAGATCTTCACCGATTGGCTTTATCCTATACGAGAGCTATACACTCCCAGAGAAAAGTGTCAAAATTTGGAACCGATTGGATTATTAGTTTTTGAGTTATCGTGCCCGCCACTCGTAAAACACAGCTTCGAGAAAAATGCGTTTAAAGTTTGTGAATCACTCTTGCCGTCACCTGATGCTGACACAATAAATCGGCTATATCTTAAAGAGTTCTTGAGATTTTCACTTGAAATTTTGTAGGGACATTCTGGAACTAGAGTAGATTCGAATTAAACAAGCAAAATTGTCGGATCTGGAGCCTCTCATAGACAGCCAGGTTTCATTACTTATGAACGTCGTACTTTCCTGAACCACGTTAAAGCTGACTGATAAAGTTTCCAAGAATTGAGGAACCATCACTTCAGAGATCTACCCAAACACTCTGATCTTCTGATGATTGAGACGAATTTCCTGGACATCATTACTCCTGTAGCCACCCAACAAAGTTCTAGAAGAGGCGACGGCAATTGGGAATGAACATTGTCATAGAATACCTGAAAACCAAAAGTGAATCTGACATAAAGACATAGAAACCGTAAAGACTCGACAAAATGCATTTTGACAAAATAGTTTATAAACCAGTGAGCGGAGCAGTATAGTCGGACGGGGCCGACCATACGATACCCTACACAACTACCACGGAAATCTAACTTTCTGCGGATTTTTATTCCGATTATGGGCAATATTTCTTGTCCAGATTCCATTCACTGTGGGTTCTATTGTGACGTTCGGCATGTGGTCTATAGATCGAATCGAAAAAACATAAAAAATTAAGTTTTCGGTCCACTCCATTCCAATATTATTATCAGATCATCACCGGAAATTATAGGCGTTGTCCTTGACCATACCTGGAACCTCATGGAACATTTCAAAGCTATCAGCGCCATATTTCAGCCCTATAGCGTGGTGATGTTTTACTAAATAATATATTAATACGTAAGCACATGTTCATATTTAAGTGTAACTCCCACATCCGAGTACATACGACAATATAATTGGTATCAATTTGAAGGTCAACCACTCCTCTTGTATATAATATAAACTTTTCGGGTCCAGGTCCTTCAGGAGTAAATATATACGCTGTAGAATACAAATTTTGTAATTTTTCACACAAAAGTCAGGGTCCATTTGACCCGCTAAATATTGACCGATATTTATCAAAACATGCATGCTTATTCTCTGGCCGGATCCCCTTCTCCATGCAAAAAATCGCGGTGTTTGGGCCATAATTGCGGCCTCTGGAGCGACCAGAAAAACCGACAAAAATTAAGTTTTTGGTCCATTTCATCCCCTAAATATTAACCGATCTTTCCCAAAAACAATAGGGGTCTTCATAGGCCAGAACCCATCCTACATGCAAAATTTCGTGAAGATTGGTCCATAACTGTGGCCTGTATCGTGTTTACAAATTATAATGGACAGACGGACGGACACACATGTCTAGATCGACTCAGCTAGTCGAGATATGACGATCGGTATACTTAAAGGTGGGTCTAGGACCAATATTTCGCGGCGTTACAAACGTTTGGGGCTGTACAAAGCTATAATACCCTGAGAACATAGTTGTGTAGGGTATAAAAATATCCAGGGGGAATCAGGTATATCAGAGGCATGTTATCAATAAAAACATCAATACGCGAAAATGTCTGTATAAAATGTAAATGAAATCACAGGTCTGCACTCAAAATATATGTTTTCATTTTATAAGCTTAAGATATTGCACTAAAACCGTTAGTTTTCGCTCTGTTGTTATGATATCGTAACAACAGAGGAAAATCCATCTGTTGGAAAGTGTTTACGTATCGATTGTCCTATCTTTATACTTTTATGTCTCTGTCTGACCCTTTATGAGGGAGGTATTAAGAGAATAGATCGATAGGTTCCATTTTGTACAATTAATAAACAAAGTAGGATGTCCATTATCAAGAACTGGACTCATCATCTCACTAGGTCAAGGCTGGATTTAGATATTACATTTTGTAAAGTTTGGATCGAATACTAATTCCTTTCAGATGAGATGTACAATTTTTCAAAATGTTGGCCCTTTAACGAAACCCAGGTCAATCATGGTCCCTCTTTCATCTCAATTCGGACACTGACCTGCCCGCGGTGTCACCTGGGGTAACTATTTCCATCACCCTTTGAAATTGTGCCGCGAGTTCACCCATAAGAACTATAAAAAATGGGTTGAGGCCGGGTTAGTTTCCCACACTCAAAGAAAATCAAAACCTTCTAATGTTGACGACCCCCGCAAACGTATATAGGACCACGATCTGCGAATATGCACTACGAATTTGCGCACGTTGTACAAAACAGGCGCAGTTTTCGCTTTGACGCCCTGCCATGAAACGAGACATGAATTTGGCTGCGGATTTATGGTTAACAGGAGAATAAAAGACTTAGTCTATAGATTCATTCCAGTAGACGAGCGAATTACTATAATCCATATAAAAGCGAAGTTTTTCTATCTCAGTCTCATTTGCGCCCATGCTCTGACCGAAGACAAAGAGGAACAGACCAAAGACATATTTTACGGGCGCCTAGAAACACACCGCTGCCCTGGCCATGACATTAAAATTTTTCTAGGAGATTTTAATGCAAAAATCGGAAGGGAAAATATTTTTGGCTACACCGTGGGAAAATTCAGCCTCCATGAAGAAACATACGCGGCAGCAAAAACATGATAGTTAGCAGCACCAGATTCAAGCATCCCGATATACACAAAGCCACCTAGATTTCCACTGATCAAGCAACGAGAAATCAAATTGATCATGTTGTGATAAACCAAGACTTAGGTACCAAAGACCACCATCAAGAAATCCGTGGTACGATCAGAAGTGTCGTAATGCTACTGATATGAAAAACGTAGCGTATAGGGCAACACTTAATGCGATGGAGAATTATCGGGAGAAAAGAAGAGAGAAGAAACATATTTAAAAAAGAACAAGTAAAACGTGAGCAAATTGAGATGTACAGGAGTCATAATGAAGTCCGGAAATTTTACCAACGAGTAAAACACCAAACCGAAGGCTTTGGTGCAGGCACACCCTCCTGTAGAGATGAAGAAGGAAACCTAGTGACAGATTCACACAGCGTGCTGAGGATTTGGAAGGAGCATTTGGTATCAAATAGTAGGGGTGAAGAGGATACCCCAGAACCAATAATATATGACGTTATAAAATGTATACCACCGACTGAAGAATAATAAAAGAGCAGGTGCCGATGAGTTACAAGCCGAACTATTCAAGACTTAACTAGTCAAGACTATGTGCCAACTATAGAGGAATAAGTCTCCTCCCCATCGCATATAAAGTGCTATCCAGCGTGCTGTGTGAACAACTGCAGCCAATGGTCAAAGACATTGTTGACCATTGACCAGTTCTTCACATTCCTGCAAAATGAATACGGTTATTCAGAATAACTTTAACTGCCACAAGATCAGCAGTGAAAGAGGACCGAAAGAGGATTCAGACAAGGTGACAGTTTGTCGTGTGACCTTTTTAACATCCTGCTGGAAAAGTCCATAAGAGTGGCAAAGGTGAACAGAAATAGCACTCTGTACACCAAACAACACATGTTACTCGCCTACGACGAGAAGACCAAGCTGATGGTATGCGCAAGACGCCAGTAGACCCGGATCAACTTGAGAACTACAGCTTCGAGGTAGTCAAAGATTTTATATACCTTGTTACCCCCCATTAATTAAACTAATGACATCAGTTTTGAAATTCGGAGGACAATAGTGTTCGCCAATAGATGCTATTATGGTCTAAGTAAGCAATTTAGAGACAAGACCACCTCTCGCAAGACCAAACTCACACTCTACAAGACGCTGATAATACCCGTGCTGGTGTATGGATCAGAAGAATGGGACTTGCGCAAACAGATGAGGTAGCTCTTGGAGTGTTTGAGAGAAAAATTCTCCGAATGATCTGAATATCGCCGTTGAAAGAACCACGAGTTCTACCATATTTTCATCGACATAGTTAGACGTGTCGAGCTGCAGCGACTACGTTGGCTAGGTCATGTTGTGAGAATGGATGAGGATGCCTCAAAGGGTATATAAAAGCGAACCAGCTGATGGCTCTCGCAGAAGGCGAAGGCCATGAATATCAAGTGGAAGACAACATTGCCGAACATGGTCTTAAGTAAGTAAGTCTATGTAGTAAGGATTTAACATAATATTGTTTCCTATATATTGATCATGTTCCTTTAATTAATACCCTGTATTTAAGCTAAACCTCTGCAGGATGTTAAACTACGGGGTAAACGTAGGGTATTAAATGTTCGTCACATACTTATACATACAAATTTTAGAGTACAATGATACATATCTCATTAGCAATTTCACACATTCAAAGTATCTGTTTCATAATAATTATTTTATTTGTTTTCTGGCGTTATATTAATTTATTTTTAAATTAAAGTTCATATTTTATTATCTTGGCGAAGCTACCAAAACAAATTTCGATAAATAATTTTCCAATTAAATTTCAACACCTATAAAACAAGTAGTTAATTATCGACATACAACGAATTAGGTAGCACTTTGCCATCTATTACCAGTTTTAATTTCAGAATTCTTCCAACGGTGGCCGACCAACCAACAAAACAGTTATTTCGTGTTGTCTTTTTGGACATTTAAAATTAATGTGTAACTAATAAATTAAGTTTTAGCGAGATAATGCTAATCCCCAATATATCATTTGTATTGTCAAAACAGTCATTTCGAATATTTTGTTTTTATGTTTTGAAAGCTTCAAATATATCTGTCTAGGTCCAATATTTTGTTGAGGATTATTGAAACACATTTGTTTACGGAAGTATTAATAAGTGTCATAACATAAATTAGTTAAATTGATATGACACAATATGAATATTTAGGCACACCTATTTTCAATATTCATATTGATGTTTTGAATGGCCTAAAATTGTGTCAGATGTCGTAAATCTTATGTTGAGTCAGTTGTGACGTAAATAGGAATATTAAGTATAGTACACATCATTTCAAGTTTAACATTTGATACGTACTCGTATTGTATTATTGTCCATTTAAATTAAATTATAAACAATTTACAGGTCGCATTTACAATCCGAACCGGATGAAATTTGGCGCAGGTTATTTGGTCCAATGATGAACATTATGTACAAAATCGGTTCAGATTTAAATATTGTTCCTATATATATTTAATGGAATTGAATATTTGTCCGATTGAGACAACATTTTGCACAGCGCACAGTGTCACGATCGCGTTCAAAACCACATAACACGGAGGACAATTTTTGATTAGAATTGATAGAAAACTCTCCAATTAGAATATATATGAAATTTTATATTAAAGTAGTTTTGTCTCTGCAAAGGTTCAAATCTGATAATTCTTTCCAAACTGATTTTATAACCTTATTTTCGAAACATCGTTATATTTTTCTGATGTTCAAATATTTGAATATTTAAAAACAAACGGTCATTATAAAAGTGTTTATTTTGGTTGCTGTGGATGTTAAATCTGATGTGCTAGGATCTGCTGTTGTTTGTAAGTATATAACGATTATATGGTGTTTACAGTTGTCCACACATGTAGTAGGGCAGACTGGGGCACCTTCGGCACTTTTTGTTTAGAGCTCTTTATCTCAGTACTTATACAACAGATATAAAAACTTTATGGCTGGTTATTGTCCTCTGATACTTAATTATAAAAACTAGTACCATAAACAATTAATAAATTAGTATTAGTTAAACATTTTTAAAGTTTTGTAAAAAAAGTCAAATTCGCCGAATGTGCCCCTACCCGGGGTACGTTCGATGGGACACATTCGGCGCCATAGTCATAGCCTGATAATTATCGACGCTATAAATCTGGTTGAAATTCAGATCCACACACATCACCAGAAATTGATTTTTTCTATCGCATTTTCGTCAATATTATTATTTATTATTTAATAAAAATTAACAACACATTTTACAAAGCCATTTGAGTTACAAAAATCTATAGTATACGTGCTGTAAGCCATATTAAAACCAGTAAGGAAAGTAGTAAAGTCGGACTAGGCTGACTAAATGATACCCTTCACCACTTTGGGTATATTCTGCATATGTATCCTAAAAGACGTCGCCAGTTGGAAGGAACATTGACATGAAATCGGACGAACTTAAATATGTGATCTTTATATCTAAACCGACAAACATCAATTCTGTCATTCTGCAACATATGCTAAATTTTGTAAATCAATTTAAAGCAATATACGCTATTTGGTATGCTGCACTGTTTAAAATTTAATCTCAATCAGACACCCATTGATTATTTGGTGTACAATTAACATGAATAAGTCGAAATTATATATGGAAGCTATCTTATATCTATGTTTGAACAGATTTCAAGGAAACTTGTCATAGATAAATTTATATTAATTTCAGTACGTTGTGTCTATCGACCTAGATATGGGTCTTTAGTGACCATTTACTTAAAATCGGACGAAAATATATATAGGAGGTGTATGTAAATCTAAACCGATTTTCACAAAACTTTTCACACATCATTCTAGACTTAATTCAGTACGCTATACCAAAATGGAAAGCCATAAAATCGGACGAAAATATCTAAATCTGAACCAATTTTCACGAAACTTTGCACCCATTATTCTAGACTTAATTTAGTGCGCTATGCCAAAATTCGTGCAAATCAAAAGATTTGCGGGGACTTTGGTGCACCATTTACCTAAAATCGAGGAAATATATATATATGGGAGCTATATCTAAATCTGAACCGAATTTCACGAAACTTAGCACACGTCATTCTAGACTTAATTCAGTACGCTGTGCAAAAATTCGTGCAAATCGAATGATTTTCAGGGAGTTTGGTGTCCTATTTACCTAAAATTGGACGAAAATATATATGGGAGTTATATCTAAATCTGAACCGATTTTCTCCAATGTCAATAGGGTTCGTCCTTGGGCCACATAAGTAACTTGTGCCAAATTTCATCCATGTATATTCTCAAAAGGAACCATGGGTCTATCTCGATTCCTTTTGCCTTTTACAAACATATGCACAAAGACATAATACCCGTTTAAAATCTGTAATATCTGTGCTTAATATATTAATATATACAGTGGCTCCATCGAATAATCGGACAAGTGGTTGTCAGGTATAATAACGCTATACATTTCAAAAAAAATGTCTAAATGTGTAATTTTTTCGCTTTTATTTACACATTACTTACTTATATTTCTGAACAATACAAAAAACAACAACTTTCCTAGTGATAACAGTAAATTTCGTCAGAAAAACAAAATTAACTCAATTTATTGTGTTCAACGCAAAATCGGACAAAGCAAAGTATCAATGTTTAAAGTCCCGTTATTATGCAAATATTAACTTCAAATCGGTATTTTGTTTGTCATATTCATTCGTAAATTGCATTTAGACCAAGAAAGTGGTAATACTAAATAAAAATAAATGTAAATGGCTCCAAAAGGGAAACAATCCAGTGTGGAAATAAGGCAATTAATATATAAATTGAGTTATGAAGATAAAACAGTAAGAGAAATTGCCGAATTGGTAGGAATGAGTAAATCTACTGTCCACGACATTATAAAGAGGTTCCGTGATGAGTTCCGATTGACCAATAAAAGCAGAGAAGGTCAAGGGAAGATATTAAATGAGCGAGAAGAGCGTTCGATATTAAAAGAAATAAAACAATATTCATTTTAAACCGCAAAAGAACTTAAAATAAATTTAAAAACTCGCACTGGAAAAGATGTGTGCCTAAATACTATTCGCAATACATTGCATAAATATAATTATTATGGGAGAGTTGCAAGAAAAAAGCCATTTATTAGCCTTAAAAATAAAAACTGTAGTATAAAATATGCCAAGGAGTTTTTACTAAAACCAGACGATTATTGGAAGCAGGTAATTTGATGATAGATCATCTTAAAATAAATTTCTATTGATAGTTTTCATTATATTAAGGTTCTGTTTACTGACGAAAGCAAGTTTAATTTGCACGGATCAGATGGGAAGATGTATGTGTGGCGTAAGCCAAATGCTGACTATAATAATGAGAATACCAAACAACATTTTAAAACAAAATGTAAAGCAAAGTGCAGACAAATTGGGTATCGCGAACAACTTTGCCTTTTATCAAGACAACGATACCAAGCACACATCAGGTGTAGCAAAGCTTTGGTTGATCCATAACTGCCCCAAACATATACAAACACCTGCACAGAGCCCAGACCTTAACGTAATTGAGCATCTTTGGGAAGAATTAGCTAGGAGAGTGTATGAAAAAAAATTTAACTCCTTAGTACAGCTTAAGGAGGCTTTACTGGAATCGTGGAACTCCATAGAGCCGGAGGTATGTCAGAATTTGGTCAAATCAATACCGAAGCGTTTACAGGCCGTTCTGGACAACAAAGAATATGCAACTAAATATTAGTTTCTCGATTTTTTGCATTTTTTACCATTGATACTTTGCTTTGTCCGATTTTGCGTTGAACACAATAAATTGAATTAATTTTGTTTTTCTGGCGAAATTTACTGTTATCACTAGGAAAGTTGTTGTTTTTTGTATTGTTCAGAAATATAAGTAAGTAATGTGTAAATAAAAGCGAAAAAACTACACATTTAGACAATTTTTTTGAAATGTAAAGCGTTATTATATCTGACAACCACTTGTCCGATTATTCGATGGAGCCACTGTATATATATATAATATTCTATAGAACATGCAAGATATTTATACAATGATTAAAAATTGGAGCTATTTAAGATCCTACAAACTTCATATTAATTTTCTATATTCCCTCCACCATAGTATGGAGGGTATATTAATTTTGTCATTCCGTTTGTATCTCATCGAAATATTCATGTCCGACCCTATAAAATATATATTCTTAATCAGGGTAAAATTCTAAGACGATATAGCCATGTCCGTCCGTCCTTCTGTCCGTCTGTTTTAACTTCTGAAGAAATTGAGATAGGGTGCTAAAATTTTACATAGGGTTGTCTTCTGTCTGCAGGCAGGTCAAGTTCGAAGATGGTCTTTATCGGTCCACGTTTAGGCATACCTCTTGAGCGCGTTTTTCAACTGAATTCGCTGAAATTTGGTACATTAAGTTCTTATAGAGTAGCAAATCTCTCAA